GACTCAAACCGTGGTCAACTACATGGGAGTCTAGCAACGTAGCCATTAACGCCATCTGCTGGTCCCCTGAACAGATTATTTTAAAAAGTCTTAGTTCCCTGTTTATAAAATGGGAATGATCTAGAATCATCCTACCACAGTTTGTAAGGAATTAAGGTGGTTTACATTAAATAGATAGAAAACATCTTTCTCTTTTCAGCATGTATTTGCAATTAAATGCCTATTTTCTTCCCCTCATCCTCAGATTTTCCTAGAAAGTGATAGATGATACAATTTAAATCAAAACTTGATTTTTGCAGCATGTTCTAGTCTGTAGAAAGTGTTCATCTCCTTAATCAAATTGAATCTTGCTACAGCCCCAAGAGGGAGGTAAACAACAAAAAGCCCATTTGACAGGGGCCAACAAGTGGCATGGTGGTCAAGGTGCTGGACTCCCACATGGCCAAGTGCAGTTCGAGTCCTGGACCTGGTAGCTTGTTTTCTCACTTTCCTTCTCTCTTTGATGAGGGTATGTGCCCTATAGCAAACTTCAAAATAATAATAATAAATAAAATGAAATAAATCGTTCTTCTGTTAAGAGCCCATTTTGCAGATAAGGAGGCCTTGGAGACTTGAGCGGTGTAAAGTGCATGCCAAGCATGAACCTGGTGCCTCTTCTATTATACCAACTGCTTCAAGTGACACCAACAGGAATCACTTAAGTTCAATATATGTTGTCCTATTTTCTTTGTACAACAGCTGCAGAAAGTATGAAGATGGAGAAAATAATGACAATCACATTCATTTCAAGTCCACGTTTTCAATGAAAAGTACAGGAAGCAGGCAGTGTGACTGAGCAGTCTAAGGCACTAGATTATGGCTCCAGTCTCTTTGGGGGCGTGAGTTCGAATCCCACCACTGCCAAAAGTTCTTTGGGGTCAGAGGTGGCATGGTGGTTAAGGGTATTGGACTCCCATGTGGCCGACTGTAGTTTGAGTCCTGGACCTGGTGGCTTGCTGTCTCACTTTCCTTCTCTCTCTCTCACTTTGTCCCTCTCTGGTCAAATGAAAATAAATAAATAAATACACAAGTTAAATAAAATAATTCTTTTTTTTAAAGTGCAGGAAAACAACAGAGTAAGTAGTACCAAGTACTTACTGTAAGTACCACAAAGTATTCCTGTCTTACAGTCGCCATCCACTTAGAGGAACACTCAGTAAAGACGTGACCACATAATTCCACTTTGAAAAGCGTGTAGAATAAAACCTCGGCTTTTAGGGACTGGCAGTTGGCATAATTAAACCTCGGCTTTCTGGAAGTAAGCCCACATTTCCAGATTGTTCCAAAATCAACAGGAATCAAGTAAAACCCCACTTTTTTCCTCATTAAAAACAATAGCTACTGATCATAGAGTATAGTCTTAGCCTTCAGATTGTCAGGGTGCCCCAAGGAAGAGCTCATTTGATACACAGAAGAGGTGCAATAAAGATTTGTGGGATGGGGGCCAGCAGGTGGTGTGGTGGTTAAAGGCACTAAACTCCCACATGGTCAACTGCGGTTCAAGTCCCGGTCCCAGTGGCTTGCTCTCTTACCCTCTCTGTCTCTCTCTGGTCAAATAAAAAATAATGATAATAAATAAACAAATAATTAAAAAACAAAGAAAGATTTGTGGCATGAATGAGAAAACAGACTTCACAGTCACACCCACTGTCCAGAGACACTGATTCATTCATAATGTGGATATGGAAACTCCTCATGGGCTTCTGGACTGTCCTGGGCCAGTTATGAAAGACCAAGGACTCCGAAAGAAACCAAGGACGTAAACCCGACAGGGCAGCAGAGATGGCGTGACCAAAAGTGACAGCACAGGAAAGAACAGGGATGAAGGCGCAGATCGGAGGGCACTGGCCAGGGGCCTCGGCAGCCTTGGGGGTCAGATACTGGGAGCTGTGCTTTTAGCTGGAAGGAGGGTCATCAGAGGACGCTGGGCCCCTTTCCAGGTTGGTGCCTGTCTCAAGCCAAAGAAGAAACAGGGAGGAAAGTGCAAGATGAGTAGGAAAAGAAAATGCTCTTTTTTTTTTAAAAAAGGACAACACCCTCCCCCATTCCCAGGAAGGTACTCTCTGTAGGCACATATACATGCAACCTGCTCTAGAAGTCACGTTGGTTTTTTTTTTTTTTTTTTTTTTTTTAGAAAAGATTTTTGTTATAGAGTGCATGTGTTTGCCAGAGAGACTGAGAGAGACAGAAAGCAAAAAATCATCCCTGGGGGGATGGCAACATCGCAACTCCTTCTCTGGATCTTGGGTATGCACACGTACCCACCCTGAGTTGGAAGCTGCTGGGTTGGGGAATCGAACTACGATCTAATACATGGGAATCCAGCGACATAACCATTACGCCACCTGCTAGTCCCAGAAGTCAGGTTTTAGTTGTTTAGTGGAAACTGTTTTGTGGGACAATGCACTACCACTTCTGCCTAGAGGAACTTGCACACTGCCAGTTACTAAGTAATCAGAGGTGGAAACACTTCCCTTCCCTAAAGAAGCACAAAGTTACTTTTTCAGAAAAAAAAAAAACAAAAACAAAACAAAACAAAAGAAGCTTGCCCACGTGGCTGCCAGTAGCACCGGAAAGGGAATTTGCTGACATTTCATTCACAGGAGCAGAGACCAGAGAATAAAGACAAAGACCTACCCCACCCACACCTGCTTCCAACCTCTTCTATCCACGCCAGTGGGACCCAGAATGTGCCCAGCACTGTGCCTGGCACTAGAAGTCACTGAGAGTCCCCGCCACTGGCAACAGCATTTGAGGTCCCAGTGCAAAATAAAAATGCATAACCCCTTGTTTAATTAACTTCAAGACAGAACAACAGAGCACTGGACCAAGACTGGAGCCCTTCTAGAAGCTACTGTCTCAAGGTCCTGAAGTCAGTCCTGGACGAAGACATGAAGCAAACCTGCCCTCAGGTTGATGGGGTTTTTGTTGATCTGTTTAAGTCCAGACCCGGAAACGGGAGCGACAAGTAGACACAAACTCAGCAGGAGAGACCAGAGAAGAACTTTGCGGGGGAACTCGACCAGGGTGCAGGCAGGCTCCAAAAAACAAGCCCCCGACTCTGCTCCAGCGATAAGAAAGAGTAGGAGGGGCCAGCAGGTAGCCCGGTAGTAAAGGGCGCTGGACTTCCACATGGCCGACAGCGGTTCGAGTCCCAGACATGGTGGCTTGCTTTCTCGCTTTCTCTCTCTTTCTCACTTTGTCCCTTTCTGGTCCAATTAAAATAAATTTAATAAATAAATGAAGTTAAATAAAATAATTCTTAAAAATAAAGAATGAAAGAGTAAGAAGGTAAAAGCCATGCTGTGTCCAAAGGGCCCCTTGCACCTCTGCGAAGTCAGCGTCTAAGGGAGACCCCTGCAGCGGCGCCCCCCCAGGACTCAGACTCCCAGCCCGGCCCCCTGGAGGGACAGGCCCCTGAACCACAAAGGCCCGAGGAGCGAGAACAGGCGCGCGGGGCAGTTGTGGGTGTGCCGGGCGCACAGCAGACAGAGCACGGTCGGTGGCCCGAGTGACACGGACGTGCGCGCCTCGGCCAGCCAGATCCCGGGCCCGGGGCGGCCACCTCCGGGCTGCCCGGACTCGATCCTCTCCTCTGAGCCGCAGACCCGCCGGAGACAGCCTTTTCCGGAGGAGCTCCGAGCTCGTCCCACGCCGGGGGGACAGGCCTGGCGGCCGGCGCGTCCTGCTCGGTCCCCGAGAACCCGCGCGCGGGCTGGGCGTGCGGCGGGGAGGCGGGGAGGAAGTGGCGCCGCGCCGGGGTGCAGACCGCACACCCCACGGCCTCCTCCAGGCGCCCCGGGCCCTGCAGCCCTCACCTGGTCCCATCGCAGCCACTGAGCCGTCTCCTGGTCCAGTCGGGCGTCCATACCCGCGTCGCGGCCTCCCGGAGCCGCCGCCGCCATGCCCGCCCTGCCACTGCCAGCAGAGAGCGAGCTCGCCCTTCCGGCCTCGGGGCGCAGAGGCGGAGGCAGGGGAGAGAGAGGCGGAGGCAGGGGCGGGGCGGGGCGGGGAGAAAAAGAGGTGAAGGGGGAGCTGTCGCTGGGACCTGGTACGTGAGAACGTCATTACTGTCCTCCCTCGGAAGTCGCGGGGCTGCCCCACCCAGGTAACTGCTGTTAGTCCAGGCGCGTGGTCAGGGGCTAGGATCCCCCATGAGCAAACCTAGACCCCATCCTCAAAATGATGTAAGGATTCCGGTGATCCAGAAAAAGCTTCGTAAACGAAGAACAGGGGCCGGCAGGTGGCGTGGTGATTAAAGGTCCTGGACTCCCACATGGCTGACTGGTTCGGTCCTGGACCTGGCAGCTTGCTTTCTCTTTCCCCTTTCTTTCGCTTGCTCCTTGTCTCATCGAATTAAAAAAATAATAATAATAACAAATGGAAATAAATAATTCTTTAGAAGAAGAAGAACAACAAATGGGGAGGATTAAATAAATAGCCCGAAAGAGCTGAGAGTCCAGAGCAACCCTACTGGTGTAGGGACAGTTAAAAGTTTGTATGGCAGAGCAGTGTCAGGACTGTTTCCAGTTAATGATGTTGAGTCAACTAGGTATCCAGGTAGGATGAAGAAAAGAAACCAGACCCCTGCCTCACACCACACACAAGCATATATTCCAGGTCAGTTGTAGGGAGCATTGATGTAGGGAACTGCTGATGCCTGGATCCCTACACCACGGTAGGAAGATGAGTGTCCCTGAGCATGGAAAGCCTGTGGGAGAACATTTCCAACAGTATTATCTGTAAGAAAAGGGGGGAAAAACCCCAAGTGGAAACAACCCAAACCCATCAATCATGCAGGAGAAATTCATGGCAGTACATTCCTACCCATTCTTCTGAATAGATTATGGTCTCTTCCTGCAATAATGAACCACTGTTATAACCATGCACACAGATCTGACAAACGATTTTAACCTCATCTGAAACATCCAGGAGCTTTTTTTTTTTTTCTTTCAATATTTCTTTACCGAGGCAAGGAAACAAAGCACATAGGATATTCATGTAGAGAAATTGAACAAGGAAGTTGCCAAGGCCCTGACCTGGGAAGGGTGCCAAGACCTTCGGTTCTGTGCGGAAGAGTAGCACATGGAGTCACGCTGCCTCGTCTGCTCCCCAGTTAAAGGAGAAGGCAGGCTGTCTCTCTAAGGTGATGTCAGGAAGGTCTCGACGTGCAGGAGACTTTCCCGGGGTCTCCTGTAACAAAGATGCTGACACGGGAGGTCTTTTCAGTTTGCACAGTGATGTAACAACCACCCGAAGCTGCTTGCCCATGCATGACCCCACAAGGATTGCTTCGAGTCTGTGGACCTCACATAATTTCATAGACTGGGCCGGGTGGTGGTGCGGTGGTAATGCAACTGGGCCCATATCAGAAAGGTCCCGGGTTTGCATACTGGGACTTCCCTGAACACCCTGGGCGTGTGTGTGTGTGTGTGTGTGTGTGTGTGTGTGTGTCTACAATCCAGGCTGGCTCCTGCTGGGGGTGGATTGCAACATGAAGACCCTATTGGGATGTCTCTCTTTCTTCCCTCTCTCTCGTGGAAGAGATAAATGAATAACCTTAACAAAATTCATGATCGATTGGACCAGGAAAGGTTCTTAGGGAAGAACTCAGATGTCTTCATTTTGTAGGTGAGTTTAGAAAATTCAAGGCTGGTTAATGGCAGAGTCAGACTTCTCGCCCTGGGTCTCCTGATTTCCTGACCCGATATTCAATCCCTCGTCCCACGCAGCCGTTTTCTACATGTGTCCATAGGAGGAAGCTCCACGAACTCTGATAACCCTGTTTCCATGGGATAACAGCTAGCTCTCGATGAGAATCAAACATTAACCACCTCTGGCACCAATAACGTTAGGTGATATCTAAGGGACTTGCTTACACGTGCTTCCCTGCTGCCTCAAAGCTGTTTCCATGTGGGTGTCCCAATTCTCATGGGTGCTTTCCCAGCGCCTCCAACACGTCTCTTTCTCTCTCCCTCTTTGTCTCTCTCCAGCTGGAGGGTCATGGTCTTCCTTGGAGAACATTCCAGATATCTATTACATAAGCCTATTTTCATGAAAATCACAAAATCGACTAGTCTTCTCTACTGATTTTGACCAGTCTCTGCACTTAAAGTTCTAGTAGGCCGTTTAATCATGAACAGTTTAACACCAGGGCTGGTTTATCTTCCCTTCCTCCACCTCCAGCCTTCTCTTCTCTTTCTCCACCTGATAGCGCCCAGTTGTCCAGCTACCCCTCCTCACTCCGCCCTGCCTGTGACCCACCAGATCTCAGGACAAGAGTCGCTCATTCCCATTAGAGAGTTGGGGACCAGTGAAGCATCCCTGTGGCCTTTGGCCTGAGGTATTTGGTTATTGACACTAATAAGCCGAAGATCTATGAAAGCCTCGTCATTGATCTGCTGTGTGCTTTAGATTCTGTCTCTGTCAGAGAGATGCCTTAACTGCATCTTTAGGATGTGTGAGAATAAAACCCTGTAAGATATTGTGGAAGGCCGCATATTAGATCTTGTCCACGAGCAACTGTTCGTCCATCTTGTTCCCTTACCCTAACACGGCTGTCTGCTTCTGTAAACCTGCTTGCTCTTCCCATAAGAAAATAGCATATGCTAGCCACGTAGAATACCATATCTGGGACGCCATCCCATACCTGCTACTGTTTTTGCTAACTAGCCCGAAACCCTTTTGTTTAGCAATGGAACTGCTTGCATGGAAACCTTACTCCCCTCAGAAATAATTAACCTGCTTCATTCAGCTTCAGTAACTGCTTTCACATGGGAACCCTGTACACCTGGCAACTGACCCCTCTAAGAGGCTACCCCAAATTTTGGCACTGCAGTTTTGACTCTCGGGCCCTGAGCTTCAGGCTGCAGTCGCTGGCCAGCTAATAAAGACTCCCTTTAACCTTAATCTGGCTTTGGTGGTCGTTCATTCAGTTGCACTCTACAACGGTATTAGTTTTTGCAAATTGCAATGCCTCCAAAATGTTAACATATGTATTCGAGCTTGGGACTAAGGTTTCCACTAGAAGAACACGTCTCTAAAACGTGTAGAATTTCAGACTTGGCAGGAAGTTTTACTTTTTCCTCCTGAGCACCACACAGTTCCT